TATAACAACTATACTGAATTTTGTAAGTTCTAGTGAATCACTGAATCTGAGGGTGGTTGGGGGAAACCTGATACATTAACCAACAGATATCTAATCAACATTTATAGAAAATTTCACTCAACAACAAAATACACATCCTTTTTCAGTTGGTATAAATATTTTTGGCATAGCCTGAAAAATTTAAAAGAAATGAAAACATACAGAATACTTCCTTGACTACTATGGAATAAAATTAGAAGACAAGAAGAATGATAACAAGAAAATCTCCAAACACTTGAATGCTAAATATTACACTTCTAAATAATCCATGGATCAAGAACAAGTCTCAAGGAAATAAAAAAAACATATTGAGCTGAATGAAAACGAAAATACAACACAGGAAATGTGAGACTCAGCTCAAGCAGTGGCAAGAGAGGAATTTATAGCATACTGAAACTCATTAGGAAAGGGGAAGTCTGAAATCAATGACTTAAATTTCTACCCTAAAAACTTTAAAAAAGAAGAGCTAAACAAACCCACAAAAAGCAAAGGTAAATTAAATAAAGAGTGGAAATCAATGAAACTGAAAAAATGGGGGGAAAATCAATCAAACAAAAAAAATATATATATTTTAAAGGAGCAATACAATTTGAGACTCTTCTAGAAAGACTGACCATGAGAGAGAAAACACACATATCACTAAAATGAGGGTATGAAACAGAGTATTACTACAAACCCTGCAGACATTAAAAGGAAGATAAGAGACTATTATAACCAACTCTATACACATACATGTTGACATCTTAGAGGAAGGGGACCAATGCTTCAAAAACACAAACTACCATAATTCACCCAATATGAAACTGATCATTTTGGATAGCCCATAACTATGAAGGAAGGTGAATTTGTAATTTTTTAATGCCCCAAAATATAAATCTCCAGGCCCAGATGGTTTCAGTGGGGAATTATATCAAACATTTAAAGAAGAATTAACACTAATTCTACACAAATTTTTCCAGAAAATATAAGGGAATAACATTTCTCAATTCATTTAATGAAATTAGTAATACTGATACCAAAAATGGATGACAGTAGAAACAAACATGAACCAATGTCATTCATGATCTATACACCAAGATCCTTAATAGAATATTAACAAATAAAATTCAGCAATATATAAGAAAAATTATACACCATGACTAAGTGCAGTTTGTCACAGAATGTAAGGCTGGTTCAGTATTTGAAAAATCAATCAATGTAATCCATTGTATTAACAGAATATAGAATAGGGCTTGGGTTGTGTTTCAGTGGTAGAGCACTTGCCCAGCATGAATAAGGTCAACCCCTAAGCACCATAGTACACAAACAAACAAAAAAAACCCAAAATGAAACAAAAATAAATACCATTTATAATTGCTTTAAAAAATGAGAATTCTATACAATGTTGATAAAAGAAGATCTAAATAAATCAAGAGACAATCTCTGTTCATGGACTCAAAGACGCAATAACTCTGCAAATTGACATGCATGTTTAATATAACTCTTAAAAAAATCCCAGTAAGATTTTACGTATAAACAATATTATTCTAAACTTTGTAAAGAAAGGTAAAGGAACTTGAATAGCTAAGCCAATGTATAAGCCAGTATATATATATATATATAAAAATATATAAATAACAGGGTCTTGCTAAGTTTCTGAGATTGTCCTTGAACTTGCAATCCTTCTGCCGTGGCCTCCCAAATCACTTGCATAACAGAAAAGTGCCACCCTGCCCAGGCACCCAAATACTTTTTGACAAAGATGTAAAAGCAATTCAATGGAGAAAAGACAGTTTTTTCAATCAATGTTCTTGGACCAGTTGGAATCCGTAGGTAAAAAAATAGAGATTCAACTTAAGTCTCAGACCTTATACAATATTAACTCAAAATGAATTATGAACTTAAATGTGAAATGAAAAACTATTCAGTCTTTTATAAAAACGTACGAGAAAATCTTTGAAATCTACAGATAGGAAAAGAGTTCTTAGAATTGTCACCAAAGCATGATTGGCAAAAGGGAAATTGAAAATTTGAACTCATTAAAATAAAAAAAAGTTTGCTCATTAAAAAACCCTGTAAATAAGGTAAAAATTCAAGGTACAGATTGAGAGGAAATAATTGCAAACCACATATTTGACAAATAACTGGAATTTCAAAACTCAATGGTAAACCCAACTACTATGTATAACCATGAAGCTCTAACAAAAAAAGAATATGTTTACAAAACAAAAAACCCCCACTCAACTGTAATTAGCAAGAGAAACTATCTTTGTTAATCCTTATTGTAAATAAGCATGCAATGGGAAAAGACTTGAATATACTGATGGCAAATAAGCATATGAAGGTATATTTAACATCATTAACTATTAGGCAAATGCAAATTAAAAACATAAGATATTGGTATTAGAATAAATAAAAGTAAAAAAATGGCACTAACACTAAATGCTGGTGAAGATGCAGAGAAACTGCATCACTTATACATTGTTGTTGGTAATGAAAAATTGGTACAGACACTCTGAAAAACAGTTCAACAGCTTTGAGAAAAACTAAACATACAATCACCAAATGTAATTCCTAGCAATTCTTCTCTGGGCCTTTATTTCAGAAGAAAGAAACACTTTTGTTCACATGAAAACCTATATACAGATGTTCATAACAGCTTTATTTATGACAGCCTAAAACTAGAAACAATCTAGATGTTATTCAACAGATGAATGGTTAAACTGTGGTACTCCTCTATTGTGAAATTACAGCAATGAAAATGAACGAACTACTTATATACTCAACAACTTGGATTAATCTCCATAGAATTATGCTGAGTTCAAAAAACAATCTCAAAAGGCTATATACTATATGATTACATTTATATAACATTCCCGAAATTACAAAGATGGACAGATTAATGATTACCAAGGGTGAAGTACAGGAATAGGGTGGGGTGTGTGACAGAAGTAAGTGTGATTATAAAAGGGCGACAAAGGAATTTTTGTGATGATGGAAACGTTTTGTATCTTGACTGAATTAATGGCAAATCCTGGTTGTGATGTCATACTATAGTACTGCAAGATGTTACCACTGGAGGAAATTCATGAAGTGATAGAGTATCTCTCTTTATTATGTCTGCAATGTATGTATTCCTACAATTATCTCATGAAACGTTTATTTAAAAAAGAAAACAAAACAAAAAGAGAACAAATCCACAAATCATATTACTTACTTATTTACTGAGTATATGTTATATGGCCAGGACTTACTTAAGGTACTCTTATGAATGTTGTTTTTTATTAAAATTTCATGAACTGAACTCTTATTAAAGATTGTGCCCATTTCCCAAACTATCTTTCATGGAATGCTGTTTCTTTGTGACATTAACATCCTTCTTTGAGAGGTGTTGTATAAAAGGAGCTCCCTAATCAAATAAGTTTGAGAAAGATAAAAACAACATTTTCTTTTTAATGTAGAATTTTTCAAGGTTTTTGATATCCTAGTGAGCAATATACAATTTCAAAAGATGCCATCATTTATAGCTTTCCTCGGATTTAATTTTGGAACTCTTGTTTTCACATGATGCCCATTAACAATTTCCTGAAGAACTAGTATTTCTTGTACAATAATAATGTTGGGTTACAGTTTTCTATCAATATCTCTGCTGGAGTTAGGTTTTGTGATTTATTTCAATGTAGGCTATAGATTTACTGTCATAAGCCTGAATATATTTATGGTTGATGATCCAAACTACTTACCATGTAACAATATAAATAGATCGAAGTACTAATGTAAAGACCAACATTCCATACATGACCTGGACAGAAAAGAAAAATGAAATCAGTATCATCATTATTCTTTGGCAAAGAAAGTATATTTTGCCCTCCAAAATAGCTCTTCCTATGAAATGTGAATATCTATTATCTTTCATTATATTTTTTCAAGGGCAAAATATTTTATTCACCTTTGACTTTCCAATGCCTGGCATTTTTTTTTTTTTATTTATAAGTGGTGCTGAGAATTGAACCCAGTGCCTCACACAGCCAGGCAAGTGCTCTACTACTGAGCCACAACCTCAGCACATCTCCACCCCCCCTTTCCTTTTTTAAAGATGTGCAAGTAGGTAATTAAGTCATGCTAATCTCCAAGGAAAAACTAAGAACATGATTGTAAATAACCAATACTGGAAGTCCTATGCCAATTTTAATTTTCTTTCTCATTTAATTTTTTTTTTGTATTGGGGATTGAATCCAGGGTGCTTAACCACTTAGCCATATCTCCAGCTCTATTTATGTATGTTATGTATGTATGTATTAATGTATTGATTTATTGTACCAGGGATTGAACTCAGGGGCTTGAGCGCTGAGTCACATCTCCAGCCCTAATTCTGTATTTTATGTAGGGAAAGGGTCTCAGTGAGTGGCTTTGTGCCTCACTTTTGCTGAGGCTGGCTTTGAACTCACCATCCTCCTGCCTCAGCCTCTAGAGCTGCTGGGATTATAGGTATGCACCACTGTACCCAGACTTATTTTTTATTTTGAGATGGAGTCTCACTAAATTGCTGAGGCTGCTCTCTAATTTGTGATCTTTCCTACCTTATTCCCCAGAGTCACTGGGATTACAGGCATACACCGTTACTCATGTGCCACCATGCTTTGTGCCAAGGTAAATTCTAAATGGTTATATGAAATTTTAAATATCTGCCAAAACTTGAAGAAATGGTACATTTTTAACCCACATCTCCTAGCTTCTTTTTTCCCTTTTTAGCTTCACTTTCAGCAAATCATTGTAAACCTCAACTCTTAAACTCTTCTCCAGAACGTCTCTACATTTATATGCATCCTCCCCTCTACATTCTTTCTCTTATCTTTAGTCTCTAAAGAAAGTGGTGGCTATTCCTTCTCGACCACAGTTATCTGTCCTATAGGCTCACAACAACATATCTGGAGATAATATGTCTTAAAATCAGGAAGTGTGATGTCTCCAGTTTTGTTCTTCTTCCTCAAGACTGATTAGTCTGTTTGTGGTCTTCTGTGGTTCCACATGAATGTTAAAATTCTGTTTCTATTTCTGTTAAAAAAATGCCTTTGGAATTTTTATTGGGATTGCATTGAATCTACAGATCACTTTGGAAAGTATTAATATTTTAATAATACTAAGTCTCCTAATCCATGAGTACAGATGTCTTCCATTGTGTCTTGTTTAATTTCTTTTATCAATGTTTGGTGGGTTTCAATATACACTTTTACCTCATTAGTTGAGTTTATTACTAGATATTTTATTCTTTTTGGTGTTGTTATATATTGAATTATTTTAATGTTTTTTAGATAGTTCATTATTAATAATATAGAAATGTAACTGATTTTTTTATATGTTGGTTTTGTATCCTGTAACTTCACTGAATTAATTTATTAGTTCTAAGTTATTTTCTCAACTCTTCAGGGTTTTTTTTTTTAAGTATATATATTTTTAGTTGTGGGTGGACACAATATCTTTATTTTTTATTTATTCATATGTGGTGCTGAGGATTGAACCCAGCACCTCATACGAACTAGGCATGTGCTCTACCACTGAGCCACAACCCCAGTCCCTCCTTGGGGTTTTTATAAATTAATCATATCTGTAAATAGGAACAATTTTACTTCTTCCTTTTGAATTTCAGTGACCTTTATTTATTTTTATTCCCTAATTGCTCTAGCTATGACTTCTATGTCGAATAGAAGTGTTCATTGGGCATTGTGAATTGTTCCCAATTTTAGAGGAAAAGCTGTTTTTATCTTTGATTATGATTTCAGCTGAGGGCTCCTAACCCCTTGCTTAGCTGCCCTTGAACTTGTGATCCTCTTGCCTCAGTCACTGGGATTGCAGGCATGCACCATTGTACCTAGCTAGCTGAGGGCTTTTCAGGCATGACCTGTATTACATTGAAGTAATCTCCTTTAATTCTTTGTTGAGTTCTTTTACTCTTTAAAGGGTGTTGAATTTTGTCAAACATTTGTTCTATATTTATTGAGAAAACATGATTTTATCCTTTATTTTGTTAGTCTAATGTATCATATTAAAATGTTTTTCATATATTCAACTATTCTTGCATCTCAGGGATAAATCCCATTTGGTCATGGTGTATGATCATTTTAATGTGCTGTTGAATTTGTTTTGTAATTGCTCTGAAGAGGATTTTGCAGCTATGCTCATCAGGGATAGTGCCCTATAGTTTTCTTTCCTCATAAAAATCTTGGTCTGCTTTGGTATCAGAGTAATTCTGGTCTCATTAATTATATTGTATTTGTTCTCCTCTTCAATTTTTTGTAAGAGTTTGAGGAAATTTAACAAATTCTTTAAGTGAATTTGTTAGAATTTGATAATGAAGCCATCTAATCCTGGACTTTTCTTTGTTGAGAAGTTTTTGATAACTGATTTTATCTCATTATTAGTTTGAGGTCTGTTCAGATCTTCTATGTTTTCATGATTTGGTCTTGTCAGACTGCATGTTTTTAGAAATTTATCCATTTATTCCAGATTGTCCAATTTGTTAGCATATATTTTGTTTATAGCACTCTCTTACTAAAATCCTTTTCATTCTTATGGCTTCAGTTAAAATATCTATTTCATATCTTTATTTTATTAAGGGTTAGCCAATTTTACTAGTGTATGTGAAGCCCTTTGTTTAATTCCTATTAATACACACACACACATGCACACACAGACACAAGTTGACGCTTTCAATACAGTAACTCTTCATTTTGTTGTCTTCTTTCTCTGTTCTTCTACCATTTCATTTACTTCTGCTCTAGTCTTTGTTATTTCTTTCCCTCATCTAAATTGGGGCTTATTTTGTTCTTCATTTTCAAATTCTTTGAGGTGTGAAGTTGTTTACTTGACATCTTCTTTCATAACATAGGCATTTATCACTGCAAATTTCCTTCTTAGTACTGCTTTTGCTGTATCCCTGAAATTTCAATATGTTGTGTGTTTTCCTTCCTCTCAAGGTATTTTTCAATTTCCTTTGACTCCCTCTTTGACCCAATGGCTGCTCAAGAGTATGTGGTTTAATTTTCACATATTTGTGAAATTTTCAATTTCCTTTTTGCTGTTGATTTCTAGTTTCTTTCTATTATGTTTGGAAAGGTTACTTGTATGATTTCAGTGTTCTTAAATTTGTTAAGCCTTGTTTTAATACTAACATTAAGATCTATCCTGGAGAAAGATAAGGGGACACTTGTCAAGAAGTGTATTCTGCTGCTGTTGAATGAAATGTTTTGTGTATGCTTGCTGGTCCATTTGGTCTACAGTGTTGTTCAAGTTTTTAGTTGGATATTCTATTCTACAACTGAAACTGGGGTATTAAAATCTCCTACTATTATTGTACTGTTGTCTAACTCCCCTTTCAGTTCTGTCAATATTTGCTTTACCTGTTTAGGTGCTCTGATGTTGGGTGCACATTTAGTTTATTTCCTGGTGAATGAACTCTTTTATTATTACACAATGTTGTTCTTTGTTTCTTGCAACAGTTTCTTCAAGTTTATTTTGTCTGATTCAAGAATACAGAATACTCACAAGACTTTTTTTTTTTTTTTGGTGGTATGGATTGAACTCAGTGGTGCTCTGCCAACAGAGCTACATTTCTAGTCCTTTTATTTTATTTTTTCATTTCAAGATAGGGTCTTACCGAGTTGCCAGGGCTGACCTTGAAGTGGTGATCTTCCTGCAATCTCCCAATTTAGTTGGGATTACAAGGGGGTTTTCTTTTTTCAATTTACTCAGCTACTGTGTGTGTCTTCTGATTGGGAATTTAGGCCTTCTATATTTAAAGATATTATTGATAGGGAAGGCTTTACTATTGCCATTTTGTTAATTGCTTTATATGTTAGTTTTGTACTTCTTTTTTTCTGTCTTTTCTTCTCTTGCTATTTTCCTCCACCCCTGCTTTTTCCCCTTTCCAGTACTGGGAATTGAACCTGAGGGTATCACTGAGCTACATCCCCAGCCCTTTTCATTTTCTATTTTGAAATAGAGTGTTGTAAAGTTGCTGAAGGCCTCAGTAAGTTGCTGAGGCTAGTCTTGAATTTGTGATACTCCTGCCTTAGCCTCCTGCATTGCTGGGATTATAGGCCTGTGCCATTGTGTCCTGCTATTTTTTTTTTTTTTGAAGGAGAGTTTTGCTATATACAGTATTTTTCATTCAGCATTCTTCTTCTTCTTCTTCTTCTTTTTTTTTTTTTTTTGGTACCGGAGATTGAACTCAGGGGCACTCAACCACTGAGCCACATCCCCAGACCCATTTTATACTTTATTTAGAGACAGGGTCTCACTGAGTTGCTTAGTGACTTGCTAAATTGCAGAGGCTGGCTTTTAACTCCGGATCCTCCTGTCTCAGCCTCCCCAACCACTGGGATTATAGGCATGCACCACTGCACCTGGCTCATTCAGCATTTTGAATTTATCATTCTACTTCCTTCTTGCTTGTAAGATTATTTGAAAAGTATGCTGATAGAGGTTTCAGTAAATGTGACAAGTGCTTTTCTTTTGCGACTTTCAAAATTCTCTCCTTTGACCTTGGGCAATCCTGATTATAATGTGTCCAAGCATGGGTTTTTCATCTTATTTGGTATTCTTTAGGCTTCCTAAATCTTGGTGTTTGTTTTCTTCTCTAAGCTTTTGGAAATTTTGAGCCAGTATTTCTTTGAAAAGGCTCTCTGCTTCTTTCTGTCTTTCTCCTCCTTCTATAACTCCCATAATACATGTATTAGTCTGCTTGATGGTATCCATAACTGGCTTAAATTTTATTTATTCTTTCTATTCTTTGGTTTTTTTTTT